GCAGGTCGAAGCTTTGGTAGACTCAGGGGCCACAACATCGTTCATCAATCGGTCAGTTGTTGAAAGTAACAGCCTGGTGACGCATAAGCTGGCAACCCCATACAACGTTTATAACGCAGACGGGACCTCCAATAAAAGCGGTCAAATAAATAAGTCCGTTAGAGCCTACGTCGAAATAGGATCACATAAGTCGACACACCCACTGCTAGTCGCAGATTTGGGGAGAAAGGACATGATCCTCGGCATGACCTATCTCAGGAAACACAATCCCGAGATCGACTGGGCCAAAGGGGAGTGGAGGTACACCAGGTGCCCTGAGAGCTGTGCCCCCAAAGCTCGTAAAACTAATCGTGTGACTGATGAAGAAACCGACGAGCTTCAGTTACCAAGGGAGGAACCCTTAGTCACTCCGCTGGACGCCTTAGGAGAGGAGTGTACTGAAAATCCATACATCAACTGGATCTCGACAGACGATCCGGAGGACCTACAAATGGCAGAATTTGTCGCAAGCATTCTGAACAAGGATGTTAAGGAGGATAATGCGGACACCACTAAGTGGAAGTCTCTCATCCCTGAATATCTACACGAGTTTGGGGACGTATTCTCACAAAAGAAATCGGAGCGGATGCCGGAACGCAAACCATACGACCATGGTATTGACTTTGAGGAAGGAGCTGCCCTACCTCGACCGGCCAAACTATACCCGATGTCTCCGAAAGAGAGGAATTCTCTCGACGAGTGGATCTACGATGAACTCCGAAAGGGGTATATTCGAAAGTCCAAAAGCCCACTGGCCTCTCCTGTTTTCTTTGTCAAGAAATATGATGGAGGGCTTCGTTTAGTTGTGGATTACCGGAAGATCAATGACGTAACTGTGAAGAACCGTTACCCAATACCCCGCATAGCAGACTTGATTGATACACTCAGTCAAGCATCGATATTCACTAAGATCGATCTGCGATGGGGATACAATAATGTTCGCATCCAGAAGGGTGACGAATGGAAAACGGCTTTCATCACACATCGAGGGCTATATGAAGCCACAGTCATGTACTTCGGATTCTGCAACGCACCAGGAACTTTCCAAGCAATGATGAATGACGTACTCGGTGATTTCATATGAGGAGGAAAAGTCATAGTTTACCTTGATGACATTCTCATCTGTTCGAATGATCTCAAGGAACATCGTAAGCTTACAAAGGAAGTCCTGAAGCGGCTGAGGGAGAACGATCTATTTGCCAAACCGGAAAAATGCTCCTTTGAAAAAAGCAGCATTGAGTACCTCGGCATGATTATCTCCAAAGGACATATCAAAATGGACCCAAAGAAACTTTCAGGAGTAGCTGAGTGGCCACGGCCTACTAAGGTCAAACAAGTCCAAGCTTTCTTAGGCTTTGCGAACTTCTATCGAAGATTCATCAAGGACTTTGCCAAGTACGCCAAACCGCTCACTATGTTGACCAAGAAGGATCAACCATGGGTGTGGGATGTGGCGCAGGAAGAGGCATTCAATGGTCTGAAAGAGACTTTTACCTCAGCACCCATCCTTCGAATCCCGGATGCAACGTCCCCATTTAGACTTGAGACTGACACCAGCGACTTCGCAACCGGCACAGTTCTCTCTCAATTGGACCCAACTGACAAGTTGTGGCACCCAGTTGCCTTTTACTCGAAGTCACTCGATGTTCATTAGCGGAACTACAAGATATATGACAAAGAGATGCTTGCTATCATTCGAGCACTCGAGGAGTATAGGCATTATTTGGAGGGACATTCGGACAAATTCGAGATCTGGTCGGATCATCTTAATCTGACTTACTTCAAGGCC